AAAAATAAAAAATAAAAATAAAAAAAAAAAAAACAAAGTATGCTCCACACTAGTAAGAATATTTTAAACATCACTACTCTTTTTAAGAATCCTTATTTACATACGATTACTGAACAAAACCCAAAAGTACACAATTACTGAGAAGTGGAAGGTGCTGCACGGCTTCTAGGTCATCATCCTACAAACTTTACATAATAGCAAAAAGAGCTAATGCCTTTTCAGATCTTGCTACACACCAGACAGCAGACTAGTTCATTAACATGCTAACTGCAAGTTCCACTTCACAGAGAAGTTTCTACCTGTGATTTGAGCCCTACATGATAAAAAGGCGGGAAGCATTGCCAGCTGGCCCTGTAGGCCCACTCTTGCTTCCTTCCCCAAACACCTCTCTTACTATTTGACACTTTGGTAGAAAAACACAGGCAGTGTCTCCAGGTCATGCCCTTGGGGGACATTTAAAATATTTTTCTGATCAATTATTTTTCTTATATGCATTTTCCCCAAAAGGTAAACTTGGGAGACAAAAGCAAAACTCGTCTCTGGTTCTTTTTTTGCCCCCCCCCCCGTGCTTATTTCAAGAATAATTTTGAGCTACATCAGAGTTGAGAGGGAAAGCTGATGAGAGATAATTTTTGTCAGCACTTTTCCTGGTTGTTAGTGACACACTCCTGTATAGTCCCTTCCAAAAAAAGATGTAGAAAACAAAGAATCTGTGTAGTCTATACAACGTAAGTTCAAGGCATCTGGCCAACGTGGATATATACTGACAACTTAGAAAATAACTAATTAGGCTGAATGCATTTATCTTTTTTGAATTAAGGTGAACTCACTTTAAATACCCACCTGCAATATTTTATTTAAAAAAAAATGATAAAAACAGCCAAGCAAAGAGAAATTCCTTCCCAAACTATCATTAGAGATTAAGTGGACAATTACTTTCTCTCATTTCCCTATAATGTGCTAGGCTTAAGTACCAAGTCAGTACATTTCCTGGTACACAGACTATCCCAGGCCCTTACTTGTGATTAACATTTTTCTATTTTTACTGGAAAGAAAATGCATCAACAGCTGGCATCCATGAAGCCACATGTATATTCTTTTACTGTCATAAAGGTATTACAAAGTCAACATTTTCACTTACCGCAAAAGGGTCTGCTTGTTTCCAAGAAATCTGAGCTCCCCAGGAAACTGGTCTTATTTTCTCTGGCAAAGATTCTGGAACAGCCACCAAGATGAAACAGATGTCCAGAAGAGCCACCACTGTGGCTACCAACACCACAAGACTGTCTCCATAACGAGCAGAAAGGTATGCTCCAATGGCTGGGCTGCTGACCAGACTAGCTGCAAAGGTGGCTGAGACCTGAGGAAAAGCACACTGTCACTCAGGGTCCCACAGCCGAACATCTGTGGAGAAAGCATATTCTTATCCAGGTTCCCACCGCTACAGGCATACACCTGTGGGAGAACACCCTTACCCAGGGTCTGCAGGTACATCCTTCCCTAGTTTTAAACAAGACAAAAGAAGTATGTTTCACACAAATTTTTAAGGAAGAAAGAGAACTGAAGTAATTCTGTTTAAGAATTTGTTCACAAACTTTTTAACTGACTGGAGATATTATGGAGATTTGTGGCAATAAAAAATAATAATAATAGAAACTAAAAATTTGAAATCTTTCTCCATAAATAAAATATTCACTCCTTGGTCTTCTTTAATTGGGAAATGGAAATGTGCTGAGAAGGGTATAAAAACAATCTCTGCAGAACTGATGATAAAAACTACAAATTTCTCAAGGGTCCTGAATGAGTCATCTTCCACAAACACTGTACTGTTTCACCATTTTATAATTTGGTGACCATTTCATTAGCTCTGAATGGGGTAGGGAAGGGACCCTAATATTCCTATAAAGAGAAAACAGCTGTAACTTTTTTAAAAAAATGAAATGATTTGTTGAGAGACAGGCTGAAGCTTTCTTACTAGAGCACCATCACCTCATGGCTGCTATCCAGACCACAGAGCCAGTGCACAGCATGCGCAACCTGAAGCCACACTGCTAAGCCTCTTCGCCTAACACACCAATATTCCTACCTTTTAGAATGCAATGTGAATACTCAAAAGCGTAGTGGGCAATATCCAAATTATAAACAAAAGCATATCATACCGTAAGTTACCTGAATTTCTAAGACATACTCACAGAAAAACTAAAGCATTATCTATGATTATAATTCTGATTCACAGCAAACCAATGACATTCTTCTATCATGTTATCCCCTCAATGAACATAAAGATACAATGTATCAGTTGGGCAGAGGGGCACATACCTGTAATCCCAGCACTCTGGGGGACTGAAGCAAGAGGGTCACAAGTTTCAGCCCAGCCTGGGCAACTTAGTGAGATCCTGATTTCAGAATAACAAACCCTGCCGGACGTGGTGGCACACGCCTATAATCCCAGCACTCAGGAGGCAGAGGCAGGAGGATCCTTGCAAGTTCGAGACCAGCCTGGGCTACAAAGTGAGCTCAAGGCCAGTGTGAACTGTGTAGCAAGACCCTGTCTCAAAAAGACAAAAAAAAAACCCACAAAAAACCAAAAAACAAACCCTACCAGATGTGGTAGTGCACACCTATAATCCTGGCACTTGGGAGGTTGAGGCAAGAGGACTGCCGTGAATTCAAGGCCACCCTGGACTACACAGTAAGATCCTGACCCCAACTAAACAAAACAAAAAACTGGACTACACAGTAAGACCCTGATCCCAACTAAACAAAACAAAAAACAGGGGCTATAGCTCAGTGAAAAGGCACTGGATTCAATCCCCAGTATAGGAGCATGCACCCCCAACCCCTGGCTAGTGTGTGTGTGTGTGTGTGTGTGTGTGTGTGTGTGTATCTCTCAGTGCGAAGGCCGAATAGCTGAGATTGGTATTACACTAGAAATACTGCAAAAACCAAATACATTCAAGAGACAGAGGGAGGGAGGGAGGGAATATAGAGAATTCTAAGTTGGGGGAATAAAAATTCCTTCATTATTTATCTAGTACCTACTATCCAAATGAAGAAGATAACAAAACTCCTGTCCTTCAGGTTTTCCCACTTTGAGAAGGTCAAGGCAATCAGAACAGCACTGTAAATTGCAATAACATGCAAATGGTAAGGGAGCAGTGCTGCACTCTCTGGTGCTATGGGAGTACTAGAGTAGCTACATCAGGGTGAAGGAGAAATGCTGCAGTGTCCTCAGCTACTATAAGATCTATGATTCCACGCAGCTATGCGAAGTATTATATCTTTCTTAAAACTTATGAGCCTATGTAGTTTTTAAAAAAATCTAAGTCCCTCTTTCATTTAACATTCAACAGGACTCTGGAAACTAAAAGGATGACTTCACCACAACAGTTTCCCAGTGAGTGTTAGCTTAGTTACTAACAGGACTATCCACTGCTGTGGTCCTAAGAGAATTACCACTTTCTTGGCTTATAAGAGGAATTTCAGTAAGGAAGGTGCATTTTATATGTTGCTCTTTAATGGGTCTCAAAATGCCCTTTAGAACTTGACTGACCAATCATGGAAGTAATTGGCAATAAGCTCTCCTATCTCTGTAAGACAGGCTGCAAGGGGTGAATATCATGGTAGTCAGTCACAGGCCCAGGTCCTGGCCCTGATTCATAGCCTATTCGCTGTACTTGCTGGAGCTTGGCTGTGAGCACTGGCAGCACACTGTCTCAGCTAGGATGTGTGCACACGGATCTGTCTCAGCGCTCTGTGAGTGGGCAATAATCCCACTTGTGGTTTTATGATGAAGAGGTGAGCTAGAGAGTAATTAAGTCATTGCCACTTCTGATGACTCAGAAATCTTTCCTAAAGCAGTTCTTGTCAGCACAGCAGCTTTGTGAATGGTTTTGATGAAAGCAAGGAACAAACATGTAATAAAAATTTCACCAAAGAATGACGAAAGTATAACCTCCTAAGGCAATAAATATGTTTAACTTGACTTATACATTATGCAATTTATATATGCATCAAAATATTACATAGTACTTCACATTAATATATACAACTTTTATGTTTTCATGTTATGTTAGAAAATTTTAAAAAATCTAGTAAAATTACAGGGGAATGCGTATCTCCACAGGCACTTTCCATGGTGGAAAGAAAAGTACAGTACACTAGTGTGATAAGTGTGCTCCTGGGACTCCTCCCTGCTCTGGTGACCATCCCTCATGGCTCACTTTGAGTATCTTGCTTTCTCTGAACCCTTCCTTGAAGCCTTCCCATTAGCTTCTCCCTTTGCCTTACACAGCTCTCTGCAGATGTCCTCACGCTAACATGGGGCACAGAAGACATCTGTGGGAGAAGGGAAGGAAGCAGGGCTAAAGAGTAGGTAGGAGTCCAAATGGAAGGTGGGTTGAATTTTCAAACTACTAATGTCTAAAATCAATGAAGTAAAAATCGTCGTTTTGTGGAATAGCAGTAATTTACTCAGCTGTGTCCACTGTTGGTTCATGAAGTTACTCATTTGGCCAACACTAAATGATACTTAATCCCATTCCAGGAAATTGTGACTTAGAAGAAAAAAGGAAGACCCAGGGAAGGCAAGAAACCACCTAGGTTTCTAGCATTCATCTTTCTCCAATCTATTACTCTCCACAGGCCTGCAGATCATGTTTCTTCTTCCACCATTTTATTGTGAACATTTTCAAACACAGAAGAATTTAAGAAAAAGGACAACACACACTAACATGTAGGAGGTGGTCCAGGCACAGAACATGAGCCCACATATACATGCTATATTTTCCTCAAACCACCTTATTTGAGAGAAACTATCGAATAATAATCTAATATCATATTTTCAAAATCTCCTATACCTTGGGTTACTTATTTAATAATTACTTGCTGAACCAATAAAGGTCTTTTTTCTACAGTACTGTACTAAGTCCTAAGTGAGAGCCTGACACACACCAGCAATAGAATTAACAATTCTATTAACAATAGATTGCTGAGGTTCTAACACCTTACTAATTCTGTTTATGGTATTATTTTAAATCTTACTTTCTGGTAATTAATAGAATGGCAATTACTGCTCCACTTTTGAAAAAGCAGTACATCTCTTACCCATCCGTAAGCAGTACTTCGTTCATGCTCCTGAGTAATATCAGCTACATAGGCAAATATCACAGAGAACGTAACTGAGAAGACTCCAGATACAGAAATCATCGCAAAATACCACCTATAAAAAAGATTTTAATTAGTCAAGAAAGAGGCAGTGTATGTTCAGTTTTATGATCAGACCCAAATATATCATGTAAGGACTACAAACCAAGAAGTAAGTAAATACAGAAGTATATGTAAGTACAGTATACTTAAAGACGGAAGAAATCAAAAGTCAAGATAGGGAGAAAAAAATAGAAACATTAACTTTGTCACTGCTCAAAGGGTACATATGTCAAAAAAATAAGAATTAAAGAGAGAAAAAGGGACAAATAAGGCAGTTAAATAAAAGTTCAGTTTTAGGTACAATTGTAATTTTAAAGGTAACCAATTGAGTGAAATCTTTTCAAATTTCCTAGCTATAGCTAAGAAAAAGACATACACAACAAATGATTTTTAAAAATCTACACAAAAAGCACGAAGCCGGCACTCGGTGTTGCTTTGCTAAAACTGTGATTTGCCCCTGATGACTGCTCTTCTCCCTTGAGAGGAGTAAGAGGGGAGGAACAGGCTGAGTGGCAGAAACAAAACAAAATAAAACAAGACACCCAAAAACTAAATAAAAGCAAAAAGTGTAACAGAAAGTTTATACAGTTAAGATTTAATAATCCTATTATATACAGATACTTTAAAAAGACCTATTGAAAATAGGAAGAGAAAAGAAAAAAATGAAGAAAGAAGGAAAAAATGGAAACAAAGCTTTTGTAAATTAGGAAGGGAAGAGGGGTTGAAAGGAGGGTAGGGAAATGGGGAACAAAAGAATCAAGATATATCATGTATAGGTACAAATTACCTATGATGAATGTGATCATTATATCTAGCTAAAATGTACCAATAAATTAAATTTAAAAACCCAAAATACTAATAAAAATATAATAGCCAGTAAATACATAATAAATAAATAAAATAGCAAACAAAATCTTATAGAACAAAAAGTAGATTCAGAAAATTTACTAATACATTCATGATACTAATAGTTCATAAGGAAAAAAGGCAAGTAATCTCCATGCTGAAAAGCCATCTAATAAAATCTTGATTTTGAACAAGAAAATACCTGCATAAAATAAGAATGAGTACTTTTCAACACAAAAACTAACCTAAGGTCTAATGATGAAACACAACACACTCCATATACATGCCCTTTATAACCATCACTTTTATTTAACATTATTCATTAGTCAGTACAAGTAACAAAGGTAGGCAGAAGCATAAAAAGTAGAAGGAAAAAGGTAAAATTATTTACAGATGACATCAATATACTTAGAAAACCACAGCCCATTTGGTGATAGAACAAAAAGAATACAATGTATATGAATAAAATTTATCAACAGATGTACAAGTTTAACAAATGTACTAAAATTGTAAGCTAGTAAAAAGCATTTTAAAAAGTACCCTAAGCATGGTATGTTCTTGAACATAAAGTTCATTATCTAAAAACTGAAAATACAAAGATTATGGATACCCTACAAATTTATAACATGGTAAATGTTGACATGAAATTCCTAGTCATAATTACATGAAAACATTTTTACATAAATCAAAACCAGAAAATTAATAGCATTAAAAAGCAAAACAAAACTGAAGATGTAGCTCAGAAGAGAGGCAGTTGCCTAGCATACACAAGCCTACGCTCAGTTCCCAACACAGCAAGGGGCAAAAATAAACTGCTGCATATTCACCAAGGAGCAACATGTGAGCAACAGAAATACTGGCCAAACCACTATCCTCTGGCCTCCAGAAAAAACTACTAAGCTCGTGTATTAAGTTCAACCCTTCTACCTTAAATTAATTGACTTTGGTTACAGGTGAAATATGCTCTCCAGATATATCACACTGAAGAGAAAAAATGAACTCAAATTCAGTAAATTCAAATTCCTATTATAATTTAGAGTAGGCTGTCAGTCCTACTAATAGTATACACAAAAGGGACTCTTGCCTATTATGATATAAACTATGTTCGCTTCAGTATCCCAATGAGCTGACAAAAACAATACATTTAAAGTCAACAGACCCGCGGTGAGGACAAGAATCTCTCCCAGTACTGAACTCCTATAAACGACAACATGGCAACAAAAGCTGCCTTAAAACATCTTTTATTTTTATTTCCTCATCTAACTAATTTATGAGACTTAATTTCGTTATACCTTCTTTCCCCATTTATAAAATGCCCAAACTGGCTTTCTGTATCACCAAAGAGATCAAGTAAAAGCACAAATGCATAATATGTAATGATGTATCTCTGGAGTGGGACTGAAATCTAAACAGAAATTCATTCTGTTTCACACACACATTATACACATGGGCTGATGGTTACATGATGCAACATTTTATTTAAATAATTTTAAATAACTTTGTGCATGAAGCAGTTTTTATACACTGAATGATCAGACTTTCACGTCAGTGCTTGAAAAGTTTTGGATTTTAGAACATGTCAGATACTGGATAAGGGCTGTTCAATCTGTACTATTTACATGTGACCTACAACAGACTGGTACAACAGTGCAAGGCTGAGCTGCTCACCATGGGTTGATCCTCATCAGGGGAATAGGGAAGCAGGTGAAGAAAACTGTGCCAAGAAGAAAAGGCTTCCTTCCCCACACATCAGAGAGAGCGCCTATGAGCGGGGCACTCAGAAAAGACAGCAGGCCCTAAAAGAGAAACAAAGCCAAGGTTAGATTAGGATGCAACCTCTGCATTACCTTTATTTCTTATTCTCTAGATGCACTAGTGCCAATCATTTTATTGGCCCCAAACGAGAATAATTTGAAACAAATACAAACTATTATTTGGGGTTTTTTTTGCATTATTTTTTAAAATGTTACTAGTACATGTTTGTAGTACACAATGATTACATTGTGAAGAGCTGTACATTACAATTCATTTCTCTTTTTTATCCCTTTTTCTTCTTTCCCTCCTCCCTCCATCTCTTGTTCCCCTTCCCACCTGAAAAAGATCTCCCTACTTCCTATTATCTGTTATTTACTGTGTTTTGCTTTTTATTTTGGGTTTCTCATATAAGAGAAAGCATGCAATATTTAAATTTCTGAGTTTGCTTTATTTCGCTTAACATTATGGTTATTATTTTGTTTTGTGAGATAGGGTTTTGCTATGTATCCTAGGCTGGCCTTGAAAATGCTACCTTTCTACTTCAAGCTAGTAAGTATTGCAGTCACAGGCATGTGCCACTACGGCTGGCTACAAACTATTATTTTTTTAAAAATGTATTTTTTAAAACATGCTATTAGAAAAGGAGTAAAATAGCTTGTTTTGCAGAAAAACTAGAAAAGAAATGCTGTGAAATATAAATGAGTAGACCTAAGATGGAAACATACACCAAGCACTTGGCAAGAGTACATGTTTCCCATCTGCTCTATGCAGGGCTCAGTATTAACTGGAGCAGGGGATCCTGAATGAACTACTATACTTCAAGAAGCTTTACAGGGGTAAAAAGGATGAGTGTGCATATGCAAAATGTGAAAACCAAAAGCAGATTTTTAGTCAATCAAAGTAAAAGTTATTCCGTTTGGTGAGTTTGAAAAGAAAATCATCTCACTTTAACAACAGGGCTGACACTAAGCGCAGGACAGTTTGAGACAGATATACCATCCAGATGCAAACTCATATCTTCTACTCGCCCATTATTTACCAGTCCCTGCTGGCCACTTCCACATCAGTACTACAGATAACTACTGAGGGAACAGACAGGTGAGACAAGAGTGGATAGACATATATTATTCTTTACTTTCTTATATCTGAATGTTCTTAGCAGTATTTTTTGGAAAATTCCTCTGTACAGCATACAAATAGAACTCACTAGAATCTGTCCCCTGATATACCTCCTATATTCAGTATTAGCAGTTTTCTGAACATACCATATGCCTCTGTGCCTTTGCTCCAGTCCTTGCAACCCTTTCCACACTTGAACCCAGTAAACTGCAATCCTTCTTTCTGATCAGGAGCATGAAACAGATCTTCCCCCATCTCATCATTTAGCTACTGGAACAAACACTAAAGGAGTAAATACAGAGCCACTGCTCCCAAGGGAAACAAGGACAGAGTATAGTGTGGTCTTGCTCAGCCTCGGCTGGAAACACACATCAAGCAACTCAGTTTCCCCTGCTCTGCACATGTCTGTGAATGACCACAAAGGCACTTCAGGAATTGATTTTGGGGGCTGAAGTGAACTTTGTGAGTAGGTGAATTTACAAATATGAAATCTGTATGTCACAACAATAGCCACTTAAGTACTAGACACAGCCTCATTTATAATCAAAGAAATACAGATAAAATAGACATAATTTTCAAGCTATCAAATTGGTAAATGCCTGAAAAGCATCACCTGCATGACAGCACGGTGAGACAGTCATTACCTAATGCTGCTGGGAGTGTGCAATGGCAAAAGTGCTCCACAAGACAGTGTGACAGTATGTATGGAAGACCCTGGAAAATGTCCAAACTGCTTATATCTTATAACTATTTTTTGGAAATAATAAGAAATGTAGGGCAAGATTTATTTTTGAAAATCATCTGTAAGAGAAGTAGGTGAGTGAATTATGGTAATGTCACACGAGAGGATGTTGTCACTACAAACAACACAAACCACCTTCCTTTATATGGCAGTGTAACATCATCAAATAACTCTGCAAGGGCTGGGGATATAGCTCAGTGGTACAAGCACCTGCCTGGCAAGCACAAGGTCCTGAGCTTGATTCCCGGTACCAAATCACACCTCAAATCAAATGACCCTACAAAGTGATCTTAACAATCAACCAAAAATACTGATTGTTCAGTGACCTTTAGAATTTTTATCAAAGCTCTCTACCTTTACTGATCATTTCTAATGGTTAGTAAAATTTTTTAAAAATTACAGTATTTATTTAGCACACTATTTTTTTCTTTTTTTAATAGTACTAGGGATTGAACAGAGAGCTTCACTCATGCTAAGCCAAATGTTCTACCACTGTGCTACATCCCCAGGCAGTACACTAATTCTTTTTTGTACCGGGAATTGAACTCACGACCTCACACTTGCCAGGCAGGCGCTGTGCTGCTGAGCTAAATCTCCAGCCCTGCAGTACACTAATGTTAACAATATCAAAAACATTGAGAATTAAAGTACTTTCTTTGTAAAAACATATTAAGAGGAGACTTCTGGGAAGACGGCAAAATAGGAAGCACATGGAATCTGTCTGCCCACCTAGACAATGATTACACTAGTACAAACTCACTGATATAACTATTTTGTAATTCTGGAGTCTATCAAAGGCTTACAACTTCCAGGGAAAGGAAGGCTTTCATCAGAAAAGTACAATTTCAGCCAGGCATGGTGGCGTATGCCTATAATCTCAGCACTCCAGGAGACTGAAGCAGGAAGTTCACAAGTTCAAGCCTAGCCTGAGCAACTTAGCGAGACCCTGTCTCAAAATAAAATTCTTGGTATGTACCTCAGTTCAGATCATGGGCTCAGTCCCCAGGACATACACACATATATACACATGTGCTAAAATTAAAGTACAATTTCAGCTCTTAGTAGCAGGTACTCATTTGCTACCTCCCACCCCACGGAAGGCAGCTGAGCATTGTCCCCAGCACAACTTCTACATACCTGGTAGAGGTCAGTACTCTCCCCCAAATACTAGGATTCTATGCTCTGATCAGTGGTGCAAAGAGGCCACTGCTGTTCCTTCTCTCACTTTGGCTGAAGTGATTTCTAGGGGACTTAATGGGCTAATGCTCTTTCCTTTTTCTTTTTCATTTTTTTCTTGTGGGAGACAGGCATTAAGATTAGAACATTCAAAAGTAAGTGCAGCTTTCCTGCTGGACACAACACCTGACACTCACAACTTAAAGGAGGAGAGGTTTAATTTAGCTCAGTTTCAGGAGATTCAGTACATGGATAGCAGGTTCCAAGGCAGGAACATCTAGGTGGGAGGGGAAAGTGAAGCAAAGCTGCTTAGTTCATGGCAATGGGGAAGCACAGCAGGGGAGCAGTACCAGAGACTAACAGGCAAGGGATCATACATAGCACCCAAGGTCATGGCTCCTGACCCACCCAGACACACCAGGAGTGTCCTTCACTAATCTGTTAGTTTCTTAGTCCAATGAAGTTGACATATCAGAATTAATGGTCACGTAGGAGTAATTATAAAGTGACTGTGCATATCCAGGAGAAGGTATGGGCTAAGAATATACCTTAAACTTACAGTTCAAGAGGATCCCTTGATCAGAGTAAAGCTATAACAACAAAAACAAAAATAATAACAAAAAACTGCAAACACGAAGGAAGAGGATCTGACTTCAGACTTACCACATTATTAGATTCAAGTTTTCAACAGAAAATCACAATGTACACAGAAAACTATGATACATTAAAAAAAAACAAAAATAAATTGTCCTTGAAAAAGGCCAGACAACAGATATATTACACCTGTATACTGTAAATTAAATACGACAGATTTTTAAGTATATTTTAATTTTCATATTAATTTTACAAAGTACTAGGTTTCATCATGGTATTTTCATATATATATATTCTGATCATATCTTCTATCCATTACTTTGCCTACACTCCCCTATCTTCACCTCTCCCTTATTCCCCTCTTTTTTTTTTTTTTTTTGAGACGGGGTCTTGCTATGCAGCCCAGGTTGGCCTTGAACTCACTTGTGGTGATCCTCCTGCCTCAACCTCCCACATTCTGGGTGTACTGCGATGCCCAGCTTCCCCTGCTCTTAAAGACTTTAGAGTACTATTTTAAAGATGCTCAAATAACTAAAAGAAGAGGTGAGAAAAATCAAGAAAATGATGTCTGAGCTAAATGCAAATATCAATAAATAGAAAACCTAGAGAAATCCTGGAACTGAAAAGTTAATAATTGAAATTTTAAAAACTCACTGGAAGGATTTAAAGGCAGATTTTAGCAGGCAGAAGCAGTGAATTGGAACCTGGATAATGGAAATTACTCCTGAGGAACAGAAAAGAAAAAGACTACAATGAACAGAGCCTAAGGGACTCAAAGGACACCACCAAGCCAACAAAAATATGCACAGAGTCCATGACGGAGAGGAAGAAGGGGCATAGACAATATTCAAATAAATAACACCTGAAAATCACATATTTTGATGAAAGATATAAATATGAACATCCAAGAACCAAGATAAACTCAGAGACCTATCCTGATATACATTATAATAAAAACACAGAAAGATAACTGTAATAAAGTAATGGAAAAAACAAGAGTAGGGACTCAACACATAGTAAAGGTCATCAATATGGTGACAGGCACAATTCTTATCAGGAACTTGGAAGGCCAGAAGACAGTGGACCGATATAGTCAATGTGCTAAAAGAAAAAAGCTTTAGGTGACTCCTTCTAAATCATTTTCCCCTGCATATATGTATGTATGTACGTATGTATATATCAAAATAAAATGGAACTGTCTTTATATCCTGTTTGTTTCACACATTATATGGTCTTCAAAAATGTATTCTTTAAATGCTTGTATAAACATCATATGGCTGTACCACAATGTATTTCTTTTAACTGTAATTATTTCCATGTTTACTATTACAAATGAAACTATAATACTCCTTTGACATTTTCTTTTTCAGTATTGTACTGGGAGCTGAACTCAAAAGAGGACTGAGCTATATTTCCAGCACTTATTTTTTAATTTTATTTTGAGACAGGGTCTCAAAAAGTTACCCCAACTGGCCATGAATTTGTAATCTTCCTAACTCAGCCTTCTAAGTCTCTGGGAATACAGCAAACTACTAGGGCATAATTTAAATTTAAGTGTGTTGTTCAGCACAGACTATTAATTATGCAAGTATTGATAGTATCTAAGTTAAATAAGACCCTATATGCATATACTTTAAAGTCAATATACTAGAATATACTGTTACATTTTAACCCCATATTTATAAACTCTTCTGAAATATTTTAAAATTAAAATAATGAGCTAAATAAGGCTGCTTAAACTGAGTGGTTGAGAACTCAGAAAGTAATGAATTGAGCATTAGGTTGGCCAAAAAGCTAAATAAATATCCAACTAAATTCTGATGCTTCCTTCTTTCTCAGTCTCAAAGTCTACCTAAGAGGAAGACAGTAGTATTTATCCTCATTCTGTTGGCAGGCAGAGCAGTTCAAAGTTTTCATAATGGCTGCCTATAAAGTATTCATGCTGCTTTTAACAGTAAACCAGTCTATGCCTTAGATATTCGTGTTGCATTTTATTCTTATCTTGGTAATCCAAATAAAAATTTAGATTTAAGTCTCTAACGCAAGAAGTTAAAATAACTGTTTCACTAAGACCCACTCAAATCTCCAGTTACATTACTAAAGATCACTTACTTTGGTTCATCATGAACCACAGAAAAATTGTTCTTACCTTTACACCTTGAATGAGACCATTCATGAGGAATGTATGTTGACGAAATGTTTCATGTAGAACCTACAAAAAATAAACAGACATCAAGACCTGTTCAATTCAAATTAAAGGGAAAGATTTCTGCCTCTATTACCAGCAGGCCACATAAATAAGATGAACTGTGTAATGAAAAATTATAAAATATTAATGAAATGAGAAATCTTAAAGGGATGAAAAGGTAATTAGGACAGAAATCTAGTAAGGTAAGAGTTCAAAAGTGTTAAGAGCAACACTCAAAGTTGCTTTTATCACAAAATAGTTTCCTGGTTACTCAGCTCAACTCTTAACAACTGATACACCCAAAAGGTTATATAAATCCAGGTATGGGCCCAGTTTCCTAACACCTAGGTAATCCACAAAAACCTCATGCCATAAATTTGCATGACAGTGCTCCCAGACTAGCAGATCCCTAGTAGAAAAATCTAAAATCACTTCTGAAAATGTCATGATTTAAGCTTAAAGTTGACCTCATATTTATGTATTTTTTTCAAATATAGTAACCAGTACGTGATCAAAGATAGCTATATATAAATGGAAAAAAAGACACCATGAGCACAGAACAAAGAGCAAACACAACAAACAACCACATTGAAACAGATCCTCCAAAACTTCAAATTCTGGAATTACTCAAAACAGGCTTTAAAATGAATATACTTACCATGTCCTAAGATACAGAAGAAATGCTTGAGACTCCTAAAACTAGAAACTCTAAGAGAGTACAGATTTATGGGCTAAGATTGTAGCTCAGTGGTAGTGTTTGTCTAGCATGTATTTAGCAAGCACTGGGCTTGACCCTCAGCACTGAAAAAAAAAAGTACACAGCAAATGTCAAAGAGAAAAAAATGAAATTCTAGAGAAAAAAACCACACTAATTTATGAACTCAGTAAGTATGTTAAACAAAACATGGGACACAGCTGAAGAGAGAATTCCTGAACACAAAATAGGCTTAGTCCATTTTGTGAGGCTGTAACAGAATACCTGACAACAGCTGATTTGTAAAGAACAAGAAATCACTGCTCACAGTTCTGGAGGCTGGTAAGTGCAAGACCAAGGCATCAGCATTTGACAAGTAGAAAGGGTGTGAACAGGTGGGGACCAAATTTGCCTTCTTTCTTGTTTCTTTTCCTTTCTTTCTTTCCTTCCTCCCCTTGTCTTCCCATCCCCTCTCCTCTCTTTTCCAGTACTAAGCCCTGAACCCAGGGTATACTCTATCACTGATGTGCTCCCTTCTCCTTTATTTTCTTCATTTAACACAGGATCTTACTATGTAACCCAGGCAGGCCGGGAACCTGTTACATAGCCCAGCTTCTTCTCAAACTCACAATCCTCCTGCCTCAGCCTCCTGAGTGCAGGGATTACATGCGTCCATAATTATGCCCAGCTCCGTGTTATTTTGAAACAGGGTCTCATTTTCTCTTGTTGCTGAGACAAAACACCCAACACTCAAAATTAAAGGAGCAAAGGTTTATTTAGCTCACAACTTGTGGAGCTTCAGTCTGTAATCAGCTGGCTCAAGGCAGGGTGGCACTGCATAGGGGCAACACTTTAAAGCAGCACAAGACAGCAAAAGCAGAACCAAAAGGGAAAGGAGCAAGGCTTTTTTCCTCCCTTATATTGTAAGCAGGCCATCACCCCCCAGGTCAGGTGTAGTACCCACATCATCTTGTGCCCTCCTCTTGCAAAGGATGAGGGTGGTTACAAAGTGAGGACCTTGGCCCCCTGCTATGTCACTTCAACTTCTAAACTTCTCAAGTTGACACAATGTATCAGCTAATACACCCGGCTCAGTGTTACTTTGAAACAGGGTCTCACTAAGTCGCCCATCTGACCTCAAACTTGTGATCCTCCTGCCTCAGTCTCTTGACTAGCTGGGATTATAAGCATGTGCCACTGTGCCTCACTAGAATCCCAATTCTTAATATTGTTAAAATGTCAAATTAATTTTCAGCATAAGTTTTGAGAAGACAAATATTCAACCTATAGCACAGGATAAAAGAAGCTCCCCAAGAATGCAGAATGGAGACAAAAAGTATAATAAAGAGTAAGAGACATGGGATTTAATAAGAAAGTTGGACATGAGTTCAATTAAACTTGTCCCACATAGAGAATGAGGCAGAGAATAAATTCAGAGCCAGTGACTGAGAATGTACCAGAACCAATGAAAAGATGTTTCACAACATTAACTCAGTATGGATCACAGAATTAAACTTAAAACTCAATCTATAAAACTCAGTGGTAACATTACAGAACAATCCAGATGACCTTCAATTTGGCTATGACTTTACAGAGATGACAGTAAAAGCACAATACATGAAGAAATATTTCATTAAAACTTTGTGCTCTGCAAAGACACTATCAAGAGAATGAAAAGATAGCCTGCAGACTGAGAGAAAATATCTTCAAACAATATAAGTAATAAAGGAGTTTTTACTAAATTTTACAAAGAACTATTAAGGCTCTATAATTAGAGAACTTGATTTAAAAAAATAAGTCAAAGATCTTCAAAGGTACCTCACCAAAGACAATTTAAGATGCCAAATAAGCATATGAAAAACTCAGTACTTCAGGTGTCATCAGAATGTGTAAACTCAAAATGAGGCACCACTACACACCTGTCCGAATGGCCAAAATCCAGACCACTGACAAATGCCAAATGCTAACAAGCATGTGGAGCACCAGAAACTCCCACTCAGTGCTGGTAGGGATACAAAATGGTATGGCCATTTTGGAAGACAGTATGGCAGTTTCTTATAAAACTAAATATACTCTTACCATGTGATCCAGTCATTGTGCTCCTTGGTGTTTACCCAAAAGAACTGAAAGTTGGAAATATGTTTTCACAAAAACCTGCACACAGATGTTTATAACAGTTTTTATATTTGCCAAATATAAAGTACTGATGGTTACTTGGAAGTAACCACGATGTCCTTAAGTGAATGGATAAACTGTGGTACATATACATTACTTTTGAAAGGAAATGTCTATCAAGGCATAAAAGACATGAAGGAACCTTAAATGCACATCCCTAGGTGTAAGAAGCCAGTCTGGAACGTCTACAAGCTATCTGATTCCAAGTCTGTGGCGCTGTGGAGAAGGAAGCCCCGCAGAGCTAGTAAGTACCAGTTATGAGGAGTTGGGGAGGAAGAAGTGACTAAGCAGCAACACTGCTCTGTATGACACCATAATGAGGGGCACTGACATTACGTGTTTGTCGAAACCCACAGCAGGTAGAACACAACAAGTGAACCCTACCTAACATCAACTATAGCCTCTGAGTGACAATGATGTGTCGCGGTGGGTGAATCAATTGAAACAAATGTACCACTGTGGTGGGGGATGTTCAATAGGAAAGGATTATACATGTAGAGGTAGAGAGATATGAAACTTTGTACCTTGTTCTAAATTTTCTTGTAATCCTAAAACTGCTTGGAAATAATAGTTTTAAATGAAATTGAAATCCATCCACAAATTATTTTCCAATGTGGCACCTGAACTCTGCTTGGTCGTATTGAAGAAAAACAAATATTTGAGTGGAGTATCATCAAAGTTTCAAAAAATTTTTACCAAGATCAGAACCATTCAATAACTTGTTTTGTGCATCAAAAAGTATGAAGAGTCAGCGTGGTGGCACATGCCACTCTGAGAGGCTGAGGAAGGAGGGGTGAAAGTTTGTGCCCAGACTGGGCAACTCAGCAAGACCCTGTCTCAAAATAAAAAATGAAAAAGGTTATGAATGTAGTTCAGTGCAAAGAATTGGATTCAATCACTGGTACAAAACCAAAAAGAAAAAAAAATAAAATAAAATTGCTGTCTTCAGATTTGGCTCCAAGATTATAATCAAAGCATAGTTCTCCAAAGTAGGACTTACAGAAACACACTAGCAGAATTAAATAGGGTGGGATTCAAAAAGCATAGAGCTCCAGATTCTGCATGGCTGCCAAAAGTGGCACAAAGCCCTATAACCACATGGTCAAGTGCTTCAGTACTCTGGAAGAAATGCCAGAGTACCCACACTTTCATAGATCAAGAATTCAATGCAGGGCATGGTAATACATGCCTGTAATCCCAGCATAGGGAGACTGAGGCCAGCCTGGGCTACACAGTGAGTTGAGCTCAGCCAGACCTACACAGTGAGATCAAAGTCTCAAAAAACTCAAGAGTTCCTATAACCAGTCCTTGTGTTTAATGTTAAAGAGTAATGCTTTCCTCTCTAGCTACCAAAGGTCTTTAGACCATAGATGGCAAATTGGCTACTACTGCCTATAACCGGAAGGGTAGACTACTGGATTATATTGCTTTTCAACATGTGAATGTCAACATGTAAATTTCAGAAAATTTCATAAAAACTGACCATTTTTCATCTTCTCAGAGAGAGGCTGCATGTTGTTAACATGTTGCATGAGCAGATGGTGGTTGCTGCTGAAGAAGGAACAGGCATTCTAACCCTAACACCAGCCCACTCTTATACACTTCACACATCTGCATTACCTGCCACCCCTAGAAACACATTCTCTCAATTTCTGACCTCTTTTCCCACTCACAACAGATAAAGGACATATACAAAATAAAAGGATAATCTATATCACTGCCAATGAGTTAATTATGATAGTAAGTACAGTTTTCTCTAGGAGATTTAATGTTACATATACATCAGAAACAACACACTACACAGCAGATCTACACCAAACAAAGCAACACAAAACAAGAACATCTTCAAGAACTGACTACAGAAGAAAGCACAGAAGTTCTGGAAAAGGAAGAACAGGAATAGACAAATACCACACTAAATCAAACAATACTGACTGTATAAAATACTAATATGTTATGGTATCTAAAAATTAGAGAATTTGGCTGATTTCCATCAACCATTTAAAGATGTGAAACCATCCTTTGCAAACAGCACAGAAGTAGACAGAATGCCAGATGTGGCCCATCGACCACAATTTGCAGACCCCTGACCTAAGGAGAATGACAATTCTTATTAACAGCTCTCTTCTCATCGGGTACAATGGACACCAGAAGGCAGTGTAATGATATACTAAAAGACTTTAAAACTCTGTAACAAAATCAGAATGCACACCAAAATGTTTTATATACCTAATTTTAAATTAAGAAGACCCACCAGTGGTTACTTTATATTCTACCAGCTCTGGTTACAATGTTAAATAGGAAAGTTGGAAATCAGCACTGGTCTTTCTTTAATTACCTGCTTGTTTATTGATAGAAAAGTATGCTATAAACCACAATGTATAATAACAGGACAAAAGTAAACACCAAGGAAAGTTCATGACATCTGTTTGAATGGGCACCTTATCTTCAGTCAGCTGAACTGTGCATCTGGTGATGGATATAACCACAGGGCCATCTTTCCTGGAAGAACACAAATGAAGAAACTGGGGAGGAGGAATCAAATGACTAGGATCACAAATGTTAATAAAAAAACAAAAACTCAGTTCTTTACAGCAAGTGACCTGGCTCACCTCATACCCACTGAGATGGCTCCTATCATTAAACAAGACAAGCCAGGAGTAGTGGTTGCACACACCTATATCCTTATGACTCTGGGAGGGTGAGGCAGGAGGATGGAAAGCCATCTCCGACACACACAATTTAGTGATTTAGTGAGACTTTTCTTGTCTCAAAATTTAAAAAAAGATGCAGCTCAGTGCAAAGGCCCTGGGTTCAATTCCCAGTACTAACAAGGGAAAGAAAAAAACAAGAAAACAAAACAAAACCCCAGAGGAGAAACTGCAGTCCTCACACACGGTTGGTAAGAATATAAAATTATATATAGCCTCTATGGAAAACAGTCTGGCAGTTCCTCAAAAAGCTTAAAATAGCTTTCCTTTATGATGCAGCAATTCACTTCTTGGTATATATCAAAAACAACTAAAAGCAGAGACTTGAACAGATTTTTCTATACTCATATTCTTAGTAACATTATTAACATTATTAACAGAAGCCAAAATATGGTAGCAAAACCAAGTATTCCATTGATAAAAAAGGCAATAAAAATGTGGTATATATAGTATATATTATACACACATATACATACTTTGAGAGCAAGAGTGACACAGTGAAGTATTATTCACTGTAAAAAACAAGGAAATCCTAGCTAGGCACAGTGACTCACATCTATGGTCCCCACAGCAAGGGAGGCTGAGGAAGGAAGATGCCAAGTTTGAGTCTGCCTAGAAAACTTCTAAGACCCTGTCTCAATTAAAAAAAAAAAAAAAAAAAAAAAAAGAAAAAGAAAAAGGCTGAGAGTGTAGCTCAGTGGCAGCATGCTCTTGGTTTTAAATCCCAGTACCACCAAAAGAAAAAAAAGTAAAAAAAGGAAATCCTGATACATGCGATAGCATGATGAACCTTGGAGACATTACGCTATGAGAAATAGAACAGTCACGAAAAGACAAACACTATGTGATTCCACTTGCATGAGATAAAGTCATCAAATGCACAGAAACAGCAGAACGGTAGTTACCAAGGGCTCAGGGTAGGGGGAAAAGGAAGAGCTACTGACTAATGTGTACCGAGATTTTTATAAGTAAAGAGTTCTGGGGATGGATGGTAGCAACATCTGTACATTCATTATTAATGCGTTTAATACCATTGAACTACACTTCAAATAGTTAAGGCAGGAAGTTTATGTTAAGTGTACTTTAACACAATTTTTAAAAATGAAGAAAAGAAAAAGTAGCACGGTGTGTCTGTATTCACACTGAAGACATTTCTTGGAGAAACATTAACTTGAGGACATCTATGTGTCCTGTGACTCATGGATTTGTTCAAATACAGTATTTATTCAGCACTAACTGGGTCCCAGGCAGAAGCAGCCACTACAGACACATTGATGAAAAGTCAAATCTCTCTAATTTAAAATGGGGAGCCACTTGTCCTCAACTAATTACTGAAGTAAATAAAACTCTATGAAGGAAAAGGTAGTGCAACAAGGAAGAATAAAAGAGAATTAGGAAGTATTTTCAAGTCTACTGCTCAAACTGTTATAATTTTAGTTAATCAATTTTGTATTTTAAATGTGCCAGAAGGCTTAAAAACCTTAAAAGGTTTATTGTCAAGTCTCATGTAAGACTAATTGGCTATTAGCTACCCCTCTCAAGTTTTGTATTTTCTGGACCTAAATGGGGAACAAAGACTATCCATATCAAAAGTTATCCTCTGATAAGGCAAAATGACTGGGAAGAGTTAACCATCAGGTTTTTAAAGAAAAATTTAATATAACTAAAACTTAAGGCCAACTTAAAAGGTGTTTGTGAAAATTAAATGTTAAACAGTTACTAGGCACCTGAATCTACCCCTAATCTGTTTTGGGGGGAGACCTCACTTCCTCCCAAACACAGCATATGTCAAACACCCAAATTCTTGCTAAGAAATTCAATACTGAGTCTAAGAAATGGCCATATATAAGCTACCAAAAACAGAAATGTGCACATTTTTACAATTATTACTTTCATTGTTACAAGATACTTATTAATATCCTATGTATTATATCCTTAAGTCAAAGGCCATTAACAACCACATAAACATACAAATATCAACAATGCTTGCTGAGTATTTCCTACAGTATATCTAAAAGACCTTCCTAAATATATGCAGTTCCTTTATATGACAGCACCCCTACAACTCTGGTTCAGTGAGTGCAGTGCTACTCAGGAATGCACAATGAAGTATTTTATTGCAGCTGGTTCACAATACCATAGAAACAACCCAAAATAACAAGCTGTTTTAAATCACCATTAGGAGCTACTCCCAAACACATCCCTAGATATATAGACCTGGGACAAGGACCCAGTTCAGTAATACTTACAGTCAACATTGGAGTTGTCAACAGGCCCCATGCAAAGAATTCAAGGAAGATGACAATAGCAGCATGGTAAACACTTGGTCGGCCAAAGCCTTGCAGCTTAAAAAAAGAAAGAAACCTATTATGAAACGTAGTAAGATACATAAGAAATTCACTTTCTTAAAATGGTATAAAATATTTAAATTAACATTTTTGGATTATCCATATTATTTAAGAAAAAACTTCATTCTGAGGCTTCATATATCTCTGGCAGAATGTATGTTTAGCAGTGTAAGGCCTTAGGTTCAATTACTAGCACTGAAAAAGTACCAAAAATCTTTTCTGCGGGGGCTCTCTTCCTCCTAAGCTTCATTCTGTGGCACCCCTGGTTCCTTCACCTTCCCTGATCAGATAGGCTATTTGTCCCCTTAGTTCAAACCACTGGAACTCTGGTAGGAAATCAACTGGGTCTTCTAGACTTTGATTAGGCATGTGTGGTGACACATGCCTTAATCCCAACATGCAAGAGCCTCAGGCAGGAGAAATTAGAGTTTAAGGGCAGCCAGGGCTACAGAGCAAATTCAAAGCCTGCCTGGACCACAAGCCAAGAGCCTGTCTCAAAAACCACCCCTGACCCTCCAAAAAGATTTTGATTCCAAGACCTGTCTGTCCCTTGCTAATTATGCACTCCTCAGCAACTTAACCTCTCTAAGTCTAAATTTCTTTAGCTATACACAAGAGATTGTATAGGTTGCTATGTTCAAAAGCCTCAGGGGCAGCAAAGGTAATTTAAATATTGGCTGAGAACAATAAAGACTAGGTTTAATATGAAAATACAGTAACACACTCCATATCTAAAGGTACCAGAATTCAGCTTTCTGTTTCTATTTTAAAGACTATGCCTAATCTGCTAATTTTCGGCAGTTTGTGACTTACTGGGATAAAATCTAAAATTCCTTTCAATGTAATATTCTTTGACTCTGTGATAATACTTACTGAAAAGTCAAGTGCTGTTAGTATCTGGTTAACTACAGGTGATACACAGGCTTTGTAAAACCTATACTATTCTTATGGTTGTATTTGTTAACTCTTCAAAAGTTAAAAGTAAATTTGGCATGGTTAACTAGAATCTAATCATGAGGAAAGAGACAAATTCAGATTACAGAAGAGCCTATAAAACAAATGAAATGGCTGGTCTCCTAAAAATAATGTCAAGCCTGGCTTGGTAGTGAATGCCTGTAACTCACTCTTATACACACACGCATACACAAATGCACAAATTCTGGGAGGCTGAAACAAGAGGACAGCAAGTTTGAGTCTAGCCTAGGCAATTTAGCAAGATCCTGTCTCAAAAAAATTAAAAACATATGTAGGTCTGGGATGTAGCTCAGTGCAAAGGCCTTAGGTCTACCTCCTCAGTTCTACAATGAGATGGTCCAGATTAAAAGAGACTAGAGCTGTAATAACTAAATTGGGACTCCTGAATGGAGCAAGACTGGATTCAGGATGAAATAGGGGTAAAAGGAAAAACATGAGTAAGAATTATGTATCAGATAAATCATATTGCATAACATTAAACATCTTGGGTATTCTTGTGGACTACAACTCAGTGTCAAGTGATTTGGAGAGATGGTGCACATATCTACTCTAAATCAACGGTCACAGGGGCTGGGGATTTAGCTCAGCGGCAAAAGCGCCTGCCTGGCAAGCGCAAGGTTGTGAGTTCGGTTCCCGGTACCGGAGAAAAACCAAAAAAAACAAACAAACAAACAAATAAATCAATGATCACAAAATATTAACTGCTAGATTTAGGTGAAGGGAATGTGTACTTCTTTATTTTGTAAATTTTTTCAAAAAGAGCCAAGTAAAATTGTTATTAAATATGCAAACTTGCAAAGTCCTCTAAGTCTAATGAGCAGGTTTGTTTGTTTGTTTTGAGTCAGGGTCTCTCTGTGTAGTTCAGGTTGGCCTCAAACGCCCTTCAATCCTCCAGCCTCAGCCTCCTGAGTGCTGAGATTACAGGCTAATGAGCAGTTTTTAAAAGCCCATTAAATTATGAGACATTTGCAAAACAAAACACACTTTAAAAGTGTGTTTTCACAACAAAAGGACCATTTAAGCACCTAGCAATTCAAAGCACCATTTAAGCACCACACTTCACAAAGTGTGTTTTCACAACGAAAGGGCCATTTAAGCACCTAGCAATTCAAAGAAATAAAAAATAACATATTAGCACAATTTTTAAAAATACCAGTTTTCATCAGCCCTTTACCAAAGGACTGGAAACAGAACTACTCCACCTCTGCCTTTAACAAGGCTGTGTGAGCCCCTCTGTGTCTCTCCTTCTGGCTCAAGTCAGAAACTCTGTCATCAAGCCTGAGTCCTCTCTTACTGTCTGGCTCCCCTTGGTCCAATCCTCTACCCTCTCTTGCTGAGGTAGAGATTGAAAAGGGACCCCTGCTTCCACTCTTGCTCCTTCACCCACTGCCCCTCAGCCAGAGAGATGGGTCTAAATGCACATCAGACCCTGTTACTTCTCTGATCCTGTCTGACTTCCATGCATCGCATTACATTTTACACGTCCAACACTAGGTGACTATGTCAAGCATCATTCATGTAAGAATCTCAAAGACTCTTAAATAGCTCACAGCAGGAAGTGTAAGAGGGCTAGCCTATCTAGTTCTCTGCAGTTTCCCAGAATGAAATGGCCTGCAGATGAGTAAGAACCATGAGGAACCCTGAGCAAATCCAGTACAGACGCCCTACCTGAGTTCCAGACACTGCTCCCCCAAAGAACTGTCATTACTGGGAGCTGTTTTAAGACAGTAAGGTTCAGATTAGTTTACACAGCAATTAATTATTCACTGCTACATACTCTCTTTGCCCTCATTATAAAGATTAAAATCTTCTAAGTCTTTCCATGAGGTCCCTTGGTAGCTCTCTATTCTCATCCTTCACCCCCATGTAAGTCAAAATATCTGAGAATGAAAAAATATATTCTCCAAAAAAAATTACTTTCTATTTTAAAGTATAGACACTATTGTGAGACACATTTTAAAGCTGAGATTAGAAAAAACACAAGCAGTTCACAGTATCAGAGGTGTTGGGAAATGATGGAAGGATGGGCATGATCAGGCTTAAAATATAGGTACACAGATATGCTATGACATGGATGAACCTTAGGTGCATTATGTTAAGTGAAATAAACCATTCACAAAAAAGACAAATACTATATGGCTCCACTTACATGAGGTATTGAAAGCAGTCAAATTCACAGAACTCAAAAGTAGAGGAGTGGTGGCCAAAGGATGAAGGAAAAGGAAAGTAATTTTTGGAGTGTGAGAGGGAAATGAGGAGCTGCTTAATGAACAGTTTCAGTTTTGCAAGATGAAAAATTCCTGGAAACTGGTCACATAACAATGCGAAAATACTTAGCACTACTGAAATGTGCACTTAAAAAGCGTTGTCAGTAAATTTTGTCTTATGTGTATTTTACCACAATTTTATACACACACACAATCCAGTCATGTAAAGGACTCCAAAAGAGCATTCTTCTCCTTTACAGTCGTCATCACCCTCAAAAGAGGGAAAGGAAATCTGACAGTGAGACATCCATACGGGTTAATACCCCATTGCTTTTGAACATAAACCTCACACAGAGCAAAGAGCAGCTGTAGGTCTATACTTGTCCTGCAACTGCCTATCACATACGGGGTACTCCAGCATACAAACTGCAGGGACCTCATTCTAGTACACTGGAGGTTACCTGTAGGTGAATAAAGAGGAATGGATCAGGGCTCCTTGCAAAAATGACTAACCCTGGAAATATATAAGAGGAGTCTAGAGTATCACAATATATAAGCTGTGATCAAATTATACAGTGAATGTTTAAATAAATGTATTTATTTTGAATTTATCATAGTAAAAGATACATTGTGAGTAGAGAATGCAGTATTCCCCCTACTACTGCCATTCCGTTCCCAGTCCGGACAGACAGGACACATCATTTCTGAGAGATAATATCCTAAAACCTAACTTAGGAAAGCAGGATATAACTCAATCTTGACCAGGTGACATAATTTCAGAAAAAAAGAAACTTAACCTACCAAGTCACTCTTACCCATTCACATCTCCATAACCCAGAGCTCTCCATATAACCCCAGACACCTCTGGTCAGAGGCTGGCTCCTGGAGTCATAACCCACGTGTTCAGTCACCAGAAACAATAAAACTTCCACTTTAAAATTTCTTGTGACTGATTACCTTAGTTTCGCTAAGGGTCTGCTTTGACTTAACAACACTGACATGACTCCCCCTCAAACTATTTCCCCTTGCTTCAAACACGCTTTCCATAATTCTTGACATTTTCTTTTTTGTTTTTTTGAGATAGGGTCAAAGTTCAGGCGGGTCTTGAACTCACCATGTAGTCCAGGCTGGCTTCAAACTTGAAGTCATCTTCCTGCCTCAGCCTCCCAAGTGCTGGGATTACAGGCATGGGCCACCATGCCCAGCTTCTCTTGCCATTTTCTGAAGCAGTTCTGGAAGTGTTTTTTGAGTGTCTTTACAAGACATAATCAAAAATACTGAATGCTGCTGCTGAGTGCCATCCAAGAGAAAGGCAGGCTCATAAAAACATGGTATGTACTCATCCACTGAATCTGGCAGTGCAATTCCTGGCTCCTCCCCAAAGTCAAAATAACCAGGAAAGGTAAAATTTTTAATTGATTCAGGACATCAAGGCAAGATGAAAACAAAAAGACACACAAATGAGGACTTCTAGAACTGCTTTAGAAAGCGGTAAGAACAATGGGATAAGTCCTTTGGAAGTGAGAGGGGAGTATTTTGAGGGGGATTAATGGCAATATGTGTTTTACTGTAATTTTAAAAACATAGATGTATTTTTAGTGCTTGAAAAGAAAAAAAGACACACTTGTAATCTCACAATTCTGGGAAGCAGAGGCAGGAGGATCAAAAGTTTGAGCCTAGCTTGGGCAACTTAGCAACTCAGGCAAGAGCCTCTCTCAAAATAAAAATAAAAGGGCTGGGAGTTAGCTCAGTGTGAAGGCTCTTGGTTCAACCCTAGTACCAGAACAACAAAAAACAAAGAACAAACCAAACAAA